ACCGGTAAATGAAGAAGGTAAGATCACACGCTGCCCAATGTTCGAAATATCTGTATTCCCACTTGCTTTGTGATTACGCAGATTCTCATAAGACTCACATCTAAGAATTTTTTGTTGCTTACGTATGAAAAATAATCGCTCACTTTCAATCATGGTGTAACCATCAACCAAAAATTGTTGGAACAACCTTTTTGCATTGAGAATAAGTGAGAACGAATGATCTTTATCTTGAATTATGTAAGCGAAAAATTCTATCATTGTACAGGTCGGGCGCTTGCTGTTACTTGAAGATGTAATTCCTCTATGAAGGATGTCAACTCTGTAACCATCATCGCCATATGGAAATAGTAATGGATACTGAAGAGCAAGGTAAGAAGGATGTAATTCACTGATACGCTTTAGTAATCCTGATGAGGTTTCAACAATGATGTCTCTTTTTTCAATTGAATCATAAATGTCACCGACAATTAAAGCGGCTACCTCAGAAGAAGTTGGTAAGTTATACGTCCTTCCATCGTGTTCTCTTTTTCCGATTAATCTTAACTTCAAATTAGCACCAGGGTTTTCATGAAGACTGTCTCTTACCATCCTATAAGACTTGACCAACGCATTGTTTGAATCTAACATAACTTTCAAAAATTCTATAATCTGGAGATCATATGATCTTGAAGTTGATGTAGAAGCACTTGTTGGTCCACTGAAAATATTATAATAAATTATTTAATGTTAATAAAAAAATTAAATGAACTGAAATGATTTTTTAGAAGAAGATTATAAAAATATACCCAATACTTGTCGATCTATTTGAAATCTCGTTCTCCGTGTCATATATGTATAACTGATAGAATTTTGGTCTTGATCCACTTGTAGGTAAAAGACTTCCTATACTATGATAATTTTGACCGCTAAGTCTGAATACATATGGTGCGTTGCCTGTGTTGTGGATGAATCAACTTTGCCTCCCATCGATGTAAATGAAAACATTGAATTGTAACGTCGAATGTTCTTCATGAAGTGTTTGCTTTTAGAATCGATGGAACGATAAAGATTTTTGTAAGATGATGGTGCTTCTTTTAAGGGTGGTAGCTCAACTTTTCCGTAGCCACAACATAAGGAATAAGACGTATTTCCTTTTTTTTGCCCTCTAAGCGATTCATCTACCCATAATTTTGCATGACAAATCTGATATATAACAATCTCGTCTCCATGATCCAAGTAATCTATTGAATGAAAAAAATATAAAAAAATAAAAAATTATTAAAAATAGATTATTAAATAAATTTAAATAACATTAAAAGTATTAGAATTATGATCACCTTTTGATATACCGCGAAATTTATCTTCGACAATATGATCATCATTACGTTCTTCATCTAATGTCAAGTCAAAAACACGTATAGAGGATATATCTGGAGTCTTCCTTTTTAATTGATGCTTTCCTCTTGGTAACTTAATTGATGAAGAATTCTGGACAATTGTGGAACGACTACCAGATGTCGTGGGATTAACAAACATTGAATTGTGTTTGTTAATAGATATTGGTGTTTGAAGGTTATTATTGAATATGTAATTGCCTGATAAAATAAAAATACAAATCAAAATGTTAGCAATTGTTATGATTTATATAAATATAAAGCATATATTTCTAAGTTTGTGTATTTATAAATGCATACCGTTTGAAATGTTAGAAAAGGGAGTTCTAACATTTATATTTGTTGAAGGAGAATTATAAGTTATTGTGGAACGATTGGTGGATGTCGTGCCAATGCCAAACACTGAATTATGTAAATTAATAGATAGTGGTGTTTGAACTTTATTGTTGAAAATATAATTGCCTGATAAAATTAAAATACAAATTAGAATGTTAGAAATTGTTATGAGTTATATAAATGTGAAACGTATATTTTTAATTTCGTATATATAGAAATTCGTACCATTTGAAGTATGATGAATACTTGTATGTTGATATACACATGATTTGACTGAGTTTATATTTTCCTTATCTAAGGTAACGTCTGTATAATTAACTGTAGATATTAATTTAACACGATGACTGTAGACATCTCTTACATAATTAGAAAACATGGTTAGTAATAATAAAAAAATATTAATTATTATAAATACACTAAATGAAATAGATTTGCAAATTTAATAAAATTTTTATATTTACAAATCAATTGTAAAATAAACGAATATAAATACCGTTATTTGACATGTAAGAAGTATGTGTAATCGATGAATTTTGATGGCTTGATGTGCTTGGTAAGTTTTTGGATTTTCTATTATCCAAATATATCTTTCTAATTTTTCTCCTCTCTTTAGCATTTGTAGATTCTGTAGTAGTATTTGAACCTGTAAAATCGTAGAAAACAACTTAAAGACATTTTTTTTTATATTAAGTTTAAATATATTATAATTTCTTTTAATTTTTTTAAATAAAAATGAATAACATATTTAAAATCTATCAATAATACATATTATAATTATCAATGCAAAATAAAGCAAGAAGATTACCGTATTGTTCAAATTTTATAGCATGTCCAGTAGGTGTACGATGAGATGATGATGTAGTACAACGTTTTTTTGGATTTTCTGTTATCTAAATATAACTTTCTGTTTCTTCTTCTCTCTCTAGCGTCCATTGCATTCATGTTCTTGTTTGATATATAATAAAAATAAAAAAGTATAGTGAAAAACAAAATTAATAATTTGATAGTAAATGTTACATCGATTGGTAGCTTATATAATTTGTATAAACTTCATTTGACGAATTGAATACTAACCAACTAGGATATAAATGATATTTCTAAATCATAAAATTACATAATTATATATAAATCACATTTATTTATTAAATTGTGGAGCATGATATATAAAATGGCAATTTAAATAGATTATGTCAACTTAAATTAGAAATTAATAATTACGACATATCAATATAAATTCTTAGGTAATTATTTAAACTATAATTATTTCAATAATAAATGGGATACATACCAATCCAAATTATATAAATATTATTGATATAAAAAATTAGAAAAAAAGAACATTTTTTTTGAAGGATTCACACAAGTAATAACCCCTATTCTCCCACGTAGAAGATAATCATCTATTAGTAATAACCCCTATTCTCCCACCTAGAACCATCGAATATCAAAATTTATATCTCCGCAATGAAGATTAACATTTCGAAGGCATTCATTTAAGAAAGATACGAATGAATATGGTATGAAGATGCGACAATCGAAGGTAAGATGTAAATTTTTGTTAACTATTGTTTTCTTAACAGAACATAGATAGTTGAAAGAAATTGTACCTGATTGTTTTTGGCAGAAATTTGATTCTTATGAAGAAGTTATCGAAAACTGAAATGGTATGAGCAGTAACTCGAAATACGTCAAGAGCGAAGACACAATCAGGTAACTTTCAATTTTTTGAAAGTATGATTTTCATACTCTGTGCGTAATAGTTTGAAATTTTGAAATTTGAATTTCCAAGATTTTAGGGTCAAATTTGTGCATCTGATTAATGTTAGCAAATAATTTATTAATTGAATTTTAATTTTATATACCTTCCAAAATTGGAATGCGATTTTCATATTGATTAGCTAGATATTAGGGTTAAATATATGTGCAAAACGGAGAACAAACTCATATCAGTGCCTAGTGAGTGGTTTGAAATTAAAAGTAATGGTTTAGAACAAAAAATGAATGTAGATTGCAATTTCTTTTATTTGACAGCAAGATTTGAAGACAAAAAATGGCAGAAAATTGCTCAAAAAAGCAGAATTTAAAAATATAACCAACTGATATGCACCCTTTAGATTTAAACCGTATAACACACTGGTATGTAACTCAAAACAGATGGTTCAGGATCTGAAGTTTCATAGATGGTATAACACACTAATATGTAATTTAATTACACACATATTGACACACATAGAAAGCAACATGACCAAAGAAACATGTTCCTGTTTTAAAAATGTTTATATGTCTAATGTGTACTTTATTAAGAAAGGGACAAAAAATGTAAAAAAAATAATGCCGTATGGACCATTTTCTAAATTAATAATATATTTGTGATGGATCAAACATGACCAGGGGCTCTTTTAGAGGATTGAAGTGCACCTTCCATGGTTTCCATTATCAATTTTTTGACCTGCAAATAACACACACATATATATATATTCAAGAAAAAGATGAACTGGGTGCTACCAAACCCAAGTTTGAACATTTAAAGATTAAAAAAATAACAGGTCGTACTATAATAAATTACATACTTGGCCACTGTAAAAAAAAAGATACACAAACATACACAGGTACATTAACACACCCACGTGCAGAATTAATGATAATATAATATTGTAAATCAATAGAAAGAGTACCCCTCCTCCTAATGAAATTTTCATCTATTATAGGAGGATCAAACTGTACAGAGAAATGAGTTTTTGAAAGTAGGCTAGAAATTGTTTTTAAGCATTCTATATATATTAATTCATTATATATATATATATATATATATATATATATATATATATATATATATATATATATATATATATATATATATATATATATATATATATGTATGTATGTATTATGAGCTTAAGGCATTAAAGATAAAATAAAAATTGAATTATGGGTTTTAAATAACATTTTGAAAATTTATGAACACGTTAAATAACTTTTCAATTGTAGTGTAGGAATATTAAGACACACAAATTATAGCAATGTACTTTGAAAGTACATTGCTATAATTGGTATAAATCAATATTTTTTACAAAAAAAAAAAACATTTCATTTTTGTCTTTTTCTTATTAAGCCATTGTATTACAGAAGTATATTTACACAAACTAACAAATTGTAGCAATGCATTTTCAAATTACATTAACACAAACACACAAATTATAGGCGTTGATCTATAAAAATAACAAAAGATATCCAAAAGTTAAGCAACTACCACTACTTTTTCATGTTGAATATTAAAACGATAAATATATTAGTATGTAGCATGAAATTTTGTACCAATAATGGAAAAGCAATAATAAAATGACGTCTAAAATATGAAAAAATTAATTCATAACATGCTATCATAATATAGCATAACAAACCATTTAAAAAGAAAATAATCCCAAAGTGTTAACCTTAATAACCAGAATGTCGCATTAAATCAAACCAAGATAGTTAAAAAAGCACCATGCAAATTAAAAACTGAAAATTGTTCATGAAAATCCAAAATGGACACTGTCTTCCGATTCACCACCAAATGAAATTCAGCCACTTTTTTCCAACTTCACCTCCAACAACTGTTTTCTTGGACCATCTAGGGATACTTTCTTTGTTTTTGACGACGATAAGTTTTCATTCAATTCCAAATCAAAGACTTCTTCCAGATTTCGTTTCAAAACTGGTGTTGTGTTCAAAAATTTCATCGGGCTTGTTGCTGAGTTCTTGTCAACTGTGGAAGGAGTTATGTTATCATCCGTCCCTGAAATTTGATCCTAAAGAAAATAGTTTTACAATATTGTTATTTACATCCAAGTATTATTTTAGAACATATTTATCTAATTTAATATGAATGTAACCTTTAAAGGCCTGTTATCTTGAGATTCGAATTCGCCCGAACAAACATCCAAAGAGTGTGTTATACCAGTCTGCATAAGACATAAAATAACAAAAAAATTGTGGTAGAAATATTATAAGGATATATAGTTAACAACCAAAAAACAATAATTAGTAATTTAATTACCTGTGATTCGGTAAACTTATTTTCGAGCTGTTCAATTAAATCAACATTGTCACTGACTCTAGAAATACCATACTGATTGGTTTTTTTCGACACATTGAAATCCGTAACATAAATCTTGAATGCCAATTTCAAACCTTTCAATGCATTAATCTCCCATGGATAGAAATCAGTATTGTCCCCAATCTACATCAAATAATAATGTAAATACACGTTTCGGTTAAAGTGAACATATATATAAAACGAAATAATGATTGCATAATATTCAAACGACCTCTGTTGCTTTTTTAAAACAACTCTTTGGCTGATGTCTTCAATAGATACCTTCCTTCTTTTTCAAACATTGTTAAGGTAATAGTCCCGGTATTATCTTGCACACGTATGGGGATCATAAATCTACAAAAAAATAATATAAAATATCAAAAATATTATTAATATATATGGAGTAAGAAACGTTTTTGCATGAATATAGTTTATAGTAACAACCTCGGTACAACAGTAGTTGTTTTTTTTGTGCAATTTTGGTTACGACATTCATAAGAAGTTGGTTTTGCATCAGTATCCGGAAAGGCCCTGTGGCTGCAGTTTGTACACGCTGGATAGAACCATTTCTCATTCTGCAAGATTCCCTTTATAGTGCCAACTATAATGAAATGGGTTTTCTGCATGAATGATTGGTTATTTATAATATTTGTTTATTTTAAAAATTACAAAAGAAGTATAAATATACAAGTTTAAAAAATTCAAATAAATACCGAATGTGGTTCAAAAATCTCAGCAATAGTCTTCAGCTTAGTTATAACTATGAAATCATCTAATTCAGAAAGTTGTTTAGATTCAATGACTGAAATTGTATTCGAAGACGAATCGGGACGATCATCCCCATCTAAACTGTAAATCACACAAAGAAATAATTTTAAGTATTGTTGTAATGAACATTTGTATATTTAAAACGTACATAGAAATGTGTTACCTTTTTTTGAAAAGACTAATTTCATCGATATCGGAGTTAATGAACAACTTTGAAGATGTAAAGTAGGTATTAACACTCGGACGATCTATAACACAAATAATAATAATCAGTTTAATAATCAAAGATGTAAAAATTGTTTAGTTAATAAAACAAATATACCTCTCCAAACACTAATCTTTGCAAACTGGAGTATAACAACGACACGTTGATTGGTGGATTGTTATCTATGTAATCTTGCATCTTGTAGGCATAATCACCCTACAGATTTACACGGAGTTGCAAAGCACTGAATATTGAACAATTGTTTTTTAAAAGTCATGTTTTAATATAAAATATAATACAAATATAAAGAAACGAATAACAAACTTTGCATCTTGGATGTGAATGGTTAGTCTGTGTTTAGACTTTTCAGGATCATCCCTCATCATCTCAGTAATAGCAACTACAAACCCAATAACATCTGGAAAAAAAAATATAATTGAAGAGCCCTTTGAAATTTAAAGATATAATATATATAATATATAGCAGATAAACATAGCTAAAACCATTTAAATATTTAGTTTATAATTAAAATAATAAATATTAACTAACCAACATATATGTCTTCAGGATGTAGCAAAGACATAACAGTTTGATAGTCAACAAATGAAAATCCAAATGTAGATCCAGAAAATTCTGCACATTCTTTGAGAACAGTATTTTGGACAAAGGTTAGTTTTTGATCTTGAGGAGTTATTTTGAAACAACCGGACTTTTGTGATGCAAAACTTGGACTCGTGATGTAAAAAGTCGACCCATCCTTTAATATATTTTTGAATCGATACAGAAACTTTTTCCAAACAGTAGCTTGGATCTTGCTCCCCTATAAAAAAGTAATATATGATCAACTATATAAGTAATTGTACTTAAATGTGTATTTGTAAGAAATAATTAATATGTAGAGTGTAACATACCTGTTCATCAAGTAATATTAATTCAATGGACCAAATTTCATCTTTGTTGTAGAATGACATATGTTTCCACAAGTTGATGACACGAACTTTTAGAGTTAAATCGTCCCTCAACACATCTACATCAGCAATGAAAGTGACATTGGGAGTAGCCATTTAACTGAAAAAACACAAAATTATATAAATTTGGTGAAAATATATGTAAATTCAAGGCCCTGAATAAGTTAACAAAAATATTCCAATATGTTGGTATTATTATGATTCAAATTCAGATTGCATTTGAACCATTTAACTGAAAAAACACAAGATTATATAAATCTGATGAAAAATATATATAAATTCAAATTACTGACTAACAGAACACACATATTCCTATATGTTTTTATTATAAGGAGGACATGTGTATCGATTTCTTCATTTTGTTTGTACGTAGGAAAAAAATTGAATAGCTTGTGTATAAGATAACATATACAGAAAATAACCGAAGGAGAGGAATATAGATGTAATCAAAATTACAATAAGAATACGAATGAATGATAAACAAAAAAAATTCAGCATAGTTGTTTCGGGATGCTTTACCTTCTCTGCAGTGTTTTAGAGTTCAGATACGAAGTAAATGAGAAAATGCAAATGGTTGAAAAGAATTTAGGGGTTCTGTATTTATAGGTGGAATAAAACAACCGAAGTCAATATTGTGATTGAATATTGTAATTCGTTTAAATGATTTTTAATTACTATAATCATGCAGATATTTTCGGAAACAGATAAACTTTATAAAAAACCATTACTGATTTTATGCGATATGATGATGATAATGTATGATTTTTATGATTTTTAATGCAGGTATAATATGGAAAAATAATTGCTGATTAGTAGAAGAATATGTGGATTCGTCAAAGAAGGTATGAGAGGTAAAATTTTATAAGAAACATAGATTTTCGTTTTATAGGGAAACATAATTATTTTTAAAAAACCATTGCCAATTTTCTAGCAAGGTGATTATATTTTAGTTTGAATTTTTCATTTAATATAAAAATAGATTTTTCGTTTAATATGGAGACAGATTTTTTTCGAAACAGATATTAACTTTTGATTTTCGGAAACAGATAAACTTTATAAAAAACCATTCCTGATTTCATGCGATATGATGATGATAATGTATGATTTTTATGATTTTTAATGTAGGTATAATATGGAAAAATAATTGCTGATTAGTAGGAGAATATGTGGATTCGTCAAAGAAGGTATGAGAGGTAAAAGTATTATAAGAAATATAGATTTTCGTTTTATAGGGAAACATAATTATTTTTAAAAAACCATTGCCATTTTCTAGCAAGGTGATTATATTTTAGTTTGAATTTTTCATTTAATATGAAAACAGATTTTTCGTTTAATATGGAGACAGATTTTTTTCGAAACAGATATTAAGTTTAGATTTTCTGATTTTGACTTTCTGATTTTTTGTCTAATTTATAGGGATGATTTGGACGGGAACTAATTTCTGAGGAAAATGTAGAAAATGACACGTGGACTTTGGTTGTTTAGAAGAATGCCATGTGTCACCTTAAGGAGTTTTTTATTAGAAGAGGGGATATATATATATATATATATATATATATATATATATATATATATATATATATAACACTAGCTTATAATATGAATGTTATCTATTATGTGGTCATAAGGATGAATCTGGACTAACAGATGAACAAAATGGATGATCATGATTCCAGAGTCTATGATACTATAATGAGATAATATGTATCATATCTCACAAATTTCAGGCAGCATAAGAATATTTTAGTCAATTAAATATATTTAAAAAATATATTAGTATTTAAAGGGATAATTAATTATCTTAATTTTAAAAATGTGAATTTCTTAAATTAATTAAATTTCAATTCTAAATTAATTTTTACTCATTTAGAATCGATGTAAAATAACCAAAAAATCAAATATTCTAATACAATTTGTGTTTAATAACATTTCATTCTTAAAGAATACGATGTTATATAAGCAAAATTCTAAGAATTAACATTCTTAAAGAATAATAAGTGTATATATTTTCAAGAATAACATGTTTTTATCAACGAAGTACACATTTTTATTGAAATGAAATATCCTCTTTAGAATCATGTAGAATGTAATAAAAATGAGAATGCAATTTATTTAAGAACATGTTTTTTTACACTCAAACAAAAAAATCATTCATGAAAAAGAACATCATATGATAATAAAGTATAAATTGATATCGAAGTTGACAATACATTATGTAGATTCTCTCATACAATTCTAAAAGAATGATATTGTTTTTGTGCGATGAACCATTACATTCTGAAAGAATGTAGTTATTTTTGTAAGTTGGACACTAAACTTCTGAAAGAAAGTTTCTGGAACCTGAAACTCTAAAAGAATGTTGCTGCTTTTGTAAGATAAACATTGAAATTCTAAAAAAATGTAGTTTTTTTTCACATAAGTCCGAACCTTGAAATTATTTCATTATTTTAGAATGAAATACTGAGTCACACAACACTTTAGCAATCTTAAAAAACAACACTAGTCAGAACACATATAGAATAAAATAGTGAGTCACACAACACTTTAGAAATCTGAATAAGAAAAAGGCATTATCGATGCAACAAACTCATGAAAATATAGCTCTCTGAATATTCACATAATGCATCAAAACAAGTACGAAAATAAAGTTCACATTAGAAAAACAAACAAAAAAACATTGTAAACAGATCAACGATTCACCATTTGATACAACTAGATATTCAAACTAGAAATAATTAACCAAGAATACATAAGGTATTACTAGTGTAATCAAACAATTATGATTTTTTACTATTGTATGAAAGGAAAAGGAGTTGTTACTTGTATATGAGAAATCCTAAATCAATTAGGCTTCCACTTTCTAGAAGCTTTCACATGTGAAAGATACTAAGATATGTTCCATATACTACTAAAATAACTACATATCAATAATACATGGTTGATTATAAAGATATTGACATATATTCCATATACTAATAAAATAACTACATATCAATAATATGGTTGATTATAAAACCAACGAAACCTGTAACACTAAAATGTCAAAATTCTTGAAAGCAATTTAAATTTGTGTATGGATTAGCGCTAAAAAGCAGAAAAACATAAATGAAAAATCAAGGATGGATTCGTAAAAAGGGATACTTATTACTTGTTAGTGACTAGAAATTAGAATCCTTGATTTTAGGAAAAAAAAAGTAGGCTTACTACGTGGAGACGGATGTTCATTTTGTCAGCAACTTTAAAGAAAAGGGGGAGGAAGAAGCAATGGATAGGTGGAGGAAGGCGGTCATAACCTCGATTGATTGATTAAAGAAAAAGACAAGTTTGTTAAAAGACATAAAAACTTACTAACGATTGGAGAAGGATAATCATCTTGCCATGGGTTTAGAATCTTCATTATCGATTATAGAAGAAGAAGTAGTGGATCAGAAATGATGGTGACTTCGATTAGGGCTAAGATTAGTTTTCATCGAGATGTTGAGTGTTTATACTTTATATGTGCTTCTTGCGAGACTTATCAGGAATACAACTAATATCCTATTGTATCTCTATTATACCATAATTAATTAATAAGAAGATTACTATAATACTTTTATATTATATATTAAATGATTTAATTTATCTAAAATCTGATTAATGCCTACATCCACACAATAGTTGGTCATCCACAAATGAACATCTCTCTCTCTCTCTATATATATATATATATATATATATATATATATATATATATATATATATATATATATATATATATATTTGTGTCTAGACAAAAATGAATGGCATCTGTTACAACACACACACACATATACATATATATATATACATATATATATATATATATATATATATATATATATATATATATATATGTGTGTGTATGTGTGGTGTAACAGATGCCATTCATTTTTGTCTAGACACAAATTATTTACAAATATCTTTTTAACACAAAAACCATTGTTGTATGTCTTATGGTACTTTACCTTCAGGTTTTAAATAAAACAATGATATTATCATTTATGATTGTATTTGGTTTTTTCTATATATTAAATTTTATATTTCATCGTACAACATGATTATTTAACCATTAATCTTATGTTAAAGAAAATTAAGAATGTTTTAAAATCATTTTAAATACTAATTAAAAATAATTATGCCTTATGAATAAAATAGTAAATGTTGTTTAAGAATAACTATTTGTAAATTTCTGATTGATAATTACAATATTTACAGAATCTATGTTTTTATTATTACATATTAAATTTTCTACTTCATCATTTCGGTTGTATTTATTTCAAAACTTAATTTAAAAAATGCTAAAAGTTTACACATTGATATTTAATTTTTTAAAATCAATTTGTATAGTACATGCCTGTCACATCTAATATTTTATAAACACTAAAATACAACCATAAAATCTTTTGATTTATTTGAGAATAATTTAACAATGTTAACCAGGAAAATTAAAGGACGACGATATTAGATAGCAACCCCTGACTTGACTCCATAAATGACATAACATGCACACATATGAATATTTATGCAACCAATTAGCAACATCAAGCGAGGTTATGCAAATTATGTAGATGTTGAAATGTAAAAGAAATAATACCAAACATTACATATATGCTTATTTATGCAACCAATAAGCCACATCAAGCGAAGTTATGCAAATTATGTTGATGTTGAAATGTAAGCAAAATAACACCAACCATTGTAAGTTAGGAATGAAAGTTAGTCTGAACCCAACCAATTAGACTCGGTCCCAAAAAAACAAGAAACCAAAATTAAAGGATTTGAAGATGCGAAAACTGGACCGGTATATAACAACCGGTTCGGGTACGTGGCCGGGGAAAATGGGTTTAGAACCGGAAAACCCAAAAATATCAAAATAGATAGAGTGGAACCGGATAAAATGTGCCTAGAACCAGAAAAACCATAATTTTTGTACATGGTGGTTTGAAATGAATTGAAGTAATATATACTTATATAGTATATAATTAAGATTATTATTACAAGTTGTGCGTATATAGATAACTATAACCTAAAGAAATGAGATTTGATTTTAAATCAAGATCGTAGATTGTAAGACTTTTACGTACATTAAACTTTAATTGGGTCAAACTCATAATTTGTTTGGTCTAATTACTCTTAAAGGGTTCTAACATCTTATATATAATTTGTCTGAATGTTTGAATTTTTTGTTATGGTTTTAATTTGCTAATTGTAAAGTCTAACTATTTAGATTTTGTTATGGCATTTTAGCAATAGATCAAACTCATAAAAAAATATATCATACCGACTGAATTTGTAAAGTACTAAGGTGCATTTGGTTGGTAGGAATGGAATGAAATTCGAGGGAAAATGATTCCAATTCCCTCGAATTCCTGTGTTCGGTTGGAGTTTAAAAGAAGGAAAATGATTCCTAAATGAAAAACTTTCCCTCAAATGGTGGACAAAACATTCATTCAATTAGCTGGTGGAATTAATTCTCTAAAAAGAAATAAAATACAAGATCACCATTTTGTTGCTGTTAATTTTTTTTTAAAGCCATCTAAAAAACAAACCCTATTGTCACGTCGTTCTTCACAACCGACATCATCTCTATCTCCACGACTCTAAACCTTCATCTTCTTCATTGTGCCATGTGAGTTCTTCCTCTCTCTCTCTCTCTCTCTCTCTCTCTCTCTCTCTCTCTCTCTCTCTCTCTCTCTCTCTCTCCGAACCCATCTTCCTCTTCTTATTGTGAAAAACTTCTTGCTATTAAAATCGATTTTTGGTTGTTTCCTTACTGTGAAAATCAAATATATTAATAAAATCTGTTAATTGAATACATGATTGTTTATTTTCTTGTTGTGAAAATTGATTCTTGATTATTTTCTTGTTGTGAAAATCGATTCTTGTTTATTTTCTTGTTGTAAAAATCGATTCGTGTTCTTGTTATCTCTTTTTTTAACAACTACATCTCTAAATTTGTGTTTGTTTAACAACATCTCTGAATTTGTGTTGTTTAATAGAATCATCTCTCAATTTCTATACATGTACACAACTTTTGGAAAATTGAAAAAGGTGATAGAGAGGTTTATATCAAATACATTTTGGAAGGGTAGTACTATTAATTAGGATGTTAATTCGTATTTTGGATTTTTAAGTTCTTTTGGGTTGTTTATTAGGATGTGTCTTTGTACTTTTGATTTGTAAGTTTTTGGTATCTTTGATAGGGATGTATTGAAATATTATATGCTTTTTGGTAAAGTTATTATGATACGAAGTGGAATGACTTTAAGTTATGATGTTTATTAATATGATTTTCGTAATATGTTGACATGAATGTTTAATCAATAAATTAAAATATTACTATTTTAATGATTTATGTAATATATGTTTACATGTAACTTGGAAAGCAAAGTAAATTTAAGCAAAACAAAAGGGTAATCCTATCATTTTATATGAATTCCAATTTAATTTCCTACGAACCAAACATAATCTGGACTTAATTCGAATTCCATTTCCTGCCAACCAAACAACACATAGAATTAGATTCGAATTCGTGATAGATTCCTTTTGCAATTTCAATTCAAATTCGTTCAGCAACATTGTGTAAACCAAACAACATCTAAGGATTCAGTTATTATACTATTTTGTACATAATAAGGCATCTTATGTTTAATCATTTTAAGAAGGCTATTGTAGTCTAAAGATGATTAATAAATACAAATATAATTGGTTAGTAAGAGACAAACCACCAAATTTCGATTTTCTAGAGATACTTAATAAGTACAAATATAATTGGTTAGTATGTGATAACATATAGTAGAGGTGTGAATCGATTATTATTTTTCTAGTCACGTGATCACAAAGAGTAGGTTGATGTCGATCATAATGGCTAAGGAAGGAAAAAAATCAACAATGAAGATGAATATCGATCACAAATTGAAGAGCAACAGTCAAATAATGAGAAAAATATCGAGACAAGGTTGTGCGTACGTATCCTATTAATCCAATGGCTAGGTCGACGTAGCTTAAAAACTCTATACATTCCAGGTTTCCAGTCCAATTACACGGTTCCAGTTCTTTTACGTGGTTTACCCAAAGCTGTTGGACCCATATCCGGAATACCCAAAATGCGAATACGGCTAATCCTAAACCCAAAACCCAAACCAGTTTAGCATATTCTGGTTCAACCGATTCCGTTTCCGATCAGTTACAAATCTCATGACTAGTTTATAAAGTTAAAAAAAAAGAAAAAAAAACAATAGAAATCTTAAAAAATTTATGTATTTATGGGGTTGTTAGTGTTTTTGGGTTTATGCATTTTTTATTTAACACACCTATATATATATATATATATATGTGTGTGTGTGTGTGTGTGTGTGTGTGTGAGGGATAGAGACGGAGTAGGGTTCAATTGAGAAAAAAAAGTTGAGAATGGGGTAACCATTCTTAACCAGTCATTTAATAAGCTGAAAACTAATAAAAATGTTGTGGGAAACTTGTAAATACTGCAAAAGATTAAACCATTCAGGGCAACTTTTATCCCACATAAAATCATGTCAGCAAAACCATCATTTCCCTCTTCGAACATATCACTGTTTCCTCATAACAAAAAAGTCATTCACAGAACGATTCATTCCTTCCATTTCAATCACCGTGTCCGAAAAAAAAACCCTAAAATCAGTCTCACGAAGAACAAATCGATGAAAATGTCTTCTGATTTGATTAAACATTCTTTCCGGTCTTCTATCATGACATAGTTATGCTTTTTGTAGAATTCAACTCTTCGGTTTGCATCAGTGAGTTGAGCTACATTAATCAGATTGTGTTTGAGAGTAGCTACATACGCCACAATGGAGACAGAGAAATTGTCGTTGTTAGGGATGCCATAACCTCGGATTTGTGAATTTGATTTTTTATATATGTCACGTAACCAACATTAGGAGCGAGATTAAGATCATGCAGAAAGTCTTTCTGCCCATTCATGTGCATAGAACAAGCACTATCAACATACCATATTGTATCATGTCCCGAAGCACAGAGTGCTTGCAAAATCAGTGAGTTTTGGAGTCTTTAGGCTCTGAGTTAGACTTAGGGACTTTGGCAAGGGCTTTTGAATTGGATTGTGACTTTTGAGCAACTAGCATCTCGAAGGGCTTGTTCCGAGATACATTGGAAAAGAAGCAGAATGACAAGGTCTTTTCATTTAACCAAAAATCATATGTAACCAAAGGTTGTTTGGATATTGCTTTTCTCGGATCAATAATTTTTTGAGATGTTGTAGGAATCACTGTGTTGAGATATGTTTTTTCAACCTTTTTTACTTTCGACTATTTTTTTTAATATTTTGAGGAATTCTGAACAACAGTGCTCTTACCAACCTGTTCTTTGCTTGCTACTTTCAAATGCACATTTGTTTTCGGAAATTGCATTGCTTTGAAAAAATTTCCATCAGAGTTAGCAATAAACACAAAAGAAACTTTCTGAGGAGAGTCAGTATTCACAGAAGTAGTCTCAACAATGACCTTTTTTGAATTAGGACTGACAAATTTGTTTTGAACACCCAAACTAGAAGGTTTGGATGGCCTCTTATGAATCTTAACAGGCGTATAGGTATTATGGTTCCAAGCGGCTGGACTAACTATTCGAGACACTTTCTTTTTGGATTTCTCAATGACTTTAGAATCTTTCCTTGACCTAATTGCTTTCTTAAGGGAATTTTTAGCCTCGATCTTAGGGTGAACTATATCTTTCTTATTAAACAACGTTTTCTCTAAGAGTCAGATGATGACTTAGAAGTTTCTCCAGATGATGGATTGTCAAACTTAGGGTTAATTAGAACTAGAGTTGATTTTAATATCACATTAAAGTTAGAGATAAAAGAGTCAGATAAATCATCACACACAATTTCTTCATCTACATCACTATAAAATGATGCCCAAACGAAGTCGGATTTGTCAGAGTCATGTCCAGTTGTCTCGAGAATTATTTCCTCAAGAACACAATTTTTCGGTTGACCAGAGTTTGGAATTTGAACTCCAGTATAATTGATGTTAGGGAATGAATTTGAAGACTGATTCAGGTCAAGGGATATTAGAGGTGGAAGAGGCGTGGAATCAGGACATTTAAGAATGTAAGTTGGAACTCATGAATCAGATATTGGAACTGGTCTGAAGTCTTAGGAAGGGGTGAAAATGGTGAGACAGGGGTATCTAAGTGAGTATGGTTCGGAATGTCTCCCATAAATGTTAGATTTTGCAGATCCTTCAAGGTATGAGCACAAATTCATGGAAACTCGCTTCCGAGGCCTGGTGCTTTGGACCATGGGTGACGAAAATTATGTCCCACTCATTCGTTTGCTTCAGGAATATCAATTAAGTTATGAAAGGCATTAATTTTGGCATTAAGAATTTTGTTATAAGAAACTAATATATTCCTTTCACAAAAAGTGATTTCACTACTAGAAAAAGAGCCTTTTACGACGCGCAAACAATGACACACGCATATATACGATACACATTTATGTGTGTCTAAAAAATAATGTTAGTTTTTTAAAAATTTGAAGGATAGTGGACACGTATTTTTGCGTGCCCTAAAATTAGTGTCCAAAAAAAAGAAAATTAAAAACACGGAAGGCACCTAAATTAAATGGGTGTCGTATACAAATGTTGTTTTATAATTTTTAATACGCGCATCCCTCTTCTTTGATAGAGGTAAGCGGGAAAACCAAAATATCTAAATTTTTTGAAGTACCCTCCTACCTTTCTCTCTCTCTCTCTCTCTCTCTCTCTCTCTCTCTCTCTCTCTCTCTCTCTCCTCTAGGTCACGATTCACCATGTGAACTAAGACATGCCTAAGATTCTGTCTCTTTATCGCCATCGTCTTCGGCTTTGATCTCTTCCTAAAAAAGCGACGATGAATCTACCACGAGGCGTCACAAAAGCAACCGGAGGCATCGATACCGGTGGAGCAACGAAATAAGGTGTTCTAGAAGAGAGAAAGAGAAGGGGAAAGAGAGGTGGAAGATAAAGAAAAGAGATAAAGTGACAAATATAGAAGGAACGGGAGCAGTAGCTAGAGATCAAATCAAGAAGGCAAAAGGACGGGTTCAGATTCAGACACAAATTCATTCTTTGCTTTCAATTTCATATACGCCTCGATGTTCTTATGAATCGCCTGGATTGTGATACGAGCACGCCCTCTCTTATTCCTCCTCTGATTCGAGAATGACTTGCTCCATCCACCCTTGAAGATGTCACTGGCATCAGTGGTTTTGAGCAGAGTCGATTCGATCTTCTTTTTAAAACCCTAAACGCCGATTCAGAATATCGTTGGTAAAACCCTAGATCCAAAAATAGGCTACAATTAATTCTTCTCCCGATTTTGGCCAATCATCTAACCCTTTGATTTGGGTCTTTAGTGTTGGAATTAAAATGTGAGACTTTGTCTTCATATGGGCAATGTTAACGCTTCTCGCAGGTAAATAGTAAAATCACTTGATTTGCCATTGTGACATCGTATTCTTTTTTATTTTGATTTGGCAGTTTTAATTTTGAATGTACAGGTGTTTCTCAGGATGTAAGTGAGGGCTACATCACTTGATTTTCCATGTTGGCATCGTATTCTTGTACTTGAAATCTTGAGGGTAAATCTGGAAGGGTTGAATATAGCTAACAATTGCAGTTTTTAGTCTTTTTATATACTAATATTACCTCCCAAAACCTTTCATCTAACTATCAATTGTTGTATATTTTGTAGGGTTTCTGTGTAAAAGCACATATTCTGAGAATTCTATTTCAGAATTTTCACATGTAAGCTAGTTAACATACTTATGTTGCTAGTTGAAGTTAATTAAGATAACTTATTCATTATGCATCCCTTTTCACACACAAACAGATAGTTTTTCAAGCCGTGGCAATTGATTAATGTTTTTTGAATAATGTCTTTTGAATCTAGAAAGGATATATCATAACAGTTATATGATGCTTTTTTTTAGATTTTACCGAAGAAATTTTGTGTTATGCATTTGCCTGAGCATGATACAACACTTATTCTTGTTGATGAATCTGGAAAGGAGTTTAAGACGAATTATTTGAAAGTAAGACATGGTTTAAGTGCTGGATGGAGGTGGTTTTCTATTGCACAAGGGTTACTTTAGAGTGATATTTTGTTTTTTCGTCTTGTTGAACCCTGTAAACTTCAGGTAATCTTTTTGCTTTTTTTTTTTTTTGTCTAAAAGATTATGTTATTATATACCCTAAATTGTGTCTTTTTGACTTAACGGGGACATAAGATTATGTTATTATATACCCTAAATTGGATGCTGATCCCATTGAAAATTGACTTTACCCTTCCTTTCAGGTTAATTTCTTACTTTACCCCTCCTTTCACTTTATGGTCTGGAATGTTGTGGTCCTTAGTCCTTTGCTGAGAGGGCAAAATTTGTTAGTGAAAAACTCTTGGAGAACCCAATAGTTGTTTGTTTGTTCTCTTTCTGTGAAATTATCTGTTCATATCTTATCAGTCTTAATAAGGAAAGAAAGAAAAAAAAACAAAACAGAAAATGGAAGTAAGATTCTATAATAAACATATAAATGGTATCGGTTAGGTTTTTTGTAACATGATTTAAAATTTTCAGATGGATTGATATGATTGGAGAGTTAGAGAAGATGGCTAATCTTCTTTGACCTCTTCATATCACATCAACTGGCATTTTAATTTTTTGTAATGATTTCATTCAGATAAAATATTGAGCAAGATGGGTGAAGGTTAGCTGTAAAGTAACCGTTGTCTGCAAAATCTTATATTTTTATCACTCTTCTTTTGTAGGTATCAACAAATTTCTAGTGCTGTAGGCACCTTTGGTTGAGTTTTGGAATGTTGGGATCGTGAAACCCATGGATATGTAGTAATCAAGGTAATTATTTCAACATTTTTTTAAGATAGTACTTACTCCATTTTTATTCTCTTTGCATGGTTTTGTATCTTTTGGCGAGTATTTTAACATACAGATCCTAATGGTAATCCCTTAAGTTACTTTAATTAGTAAGATGTTTTGAGAGATTATAATTTTTGTTTTCTGATCATTCATTTAATGCGATAGGTCCAATGTATTACAAGGGAGTTTATCATCTATTCTATCAGACCCCTTTCTAAAAGAATGGAAGAAATATTTTGGTTATGGTTCCTAGTTTGTCTGCATCAGCAAGTACTAGTGAAAGAACTCAAAGCCAAATGTAAATGCAAAATCTGCTTCCACCAATGCTACTCAAATCATAGAAACAGAAAAATCTTATGATGTTCAACTTGAATTCAAACATAGGATCACTCAGGTGCCTACAAGATGAGACTAGTAATAATGTTAGAGTGGCTGACCTCAAGTAAGGTTCTATGTCATTATTTCTCTTTTTAAATTTAATTTTTTTGAAATAGTTATAATGTTGGCATCATCTTGAACAGGGTTGTTGGATCTTTTATTGAATTCACTCCTGATGCATCTGAAGTGGTAAGTCTATTTGTTCCCTGGAGGGTAATATTGTAATTGTTCTACTTGTTCTAAAGCAACATCCCAATCATATACACACATACTAAAATTTTCAAATTTATCCCAAGCATATTAAATGTTTCAAGACAATGCCTTGCATCTGGTGATGTCAATCAAACAACAAGATCTGGGGTTTTATTTTCTCTACTTTAATAATTTTTTGACTTTCAGAAGACATTTATATATATTATTAGTTTCTACCATGTTAATTGATTACATATGAGATTGAAGATTGATACGTTGTTACTTCTCCTTCAGATTATGTGGCTAGGAGACATCTTTAGAGCCCAAGTTGTGGATACAACAGAATACTCATTAACAATAGAGGTGACCTATTCATTACATCCGCATTACATATGACTACTGACTCATTATAAACATACAGCCATACAATTAAAGTAAACAACACTTGTTAATAGTATTTTAGCCAAGTTTGTAATCACAGAGCTCCTCTGGTTAATCAGGTCACTGGGGATCCTGGGAAGATGGTTGCTGTTCAGAGAAACTTAGCCAAATTTGGAATCAAAGAGCTCACAAGAACAGGGAAGGTGAGATGTGTCTTAAATGCCTTTTTTCATGCAACACACACACACACACACTAACTGTGTATGTTGCAAATTGTAGATTGCTTTAAGAAGAGAAAAAAATGGGTGAAACTGCTCCATTTTGGAACTATTGTGCTGCTTCGTATCTAGATCTGGAAGCCCTAGCTCCAATTCCTACTGCCTCAAATATAAGTCACACGGTTGATGAGAACTTGAGTGTGGTTTCAGGGGTATATTCTTTAATTCTTTGCAGGTTTCTATTTGTGATAATTACTTATTTTTTTATTAATTTGAGTTGTGATATATTTGTTTGAATGTAGGGAGATGTTTATCCTGTGGAGTACTATAATAAGTTCTCAATGAATCAAGTCCTTGACCCCCATTGGGGTGTGCTTTATGAAGAAGATGTAAGATATGCATCAATTTCTAATTTTTCATTAATGTCTTATCAATCATTATTTAGCAAATAGTTTATGGGCTATATATAACTGAAATTTAATATTAATAAAACAGTTAATTGGTCATAAGTCTCACACTGTGAACATTCTTGTCAATAATGCTCCTGGAGTTCTCAACCTGGTCACCGGAGTTATATCCAGAAAGGGTTACAACATCCAGGTTTGGTTTTTATCCTTATAGTATAATTTTTTAGGTGAAATGTTTACTTTTTTTAAATAACAATAATTAAAAATAAAAAAATGTGTTGTGTTAAATTTAGTGGAACAAAGTTTTCTTCTTTTGAGTCCATTAACTTCACTGCTGACATTTATAAAGGTGATGCACACTTTTTTTCTTCTTAATTGATTTCTTTTACTATGTTTTGAAACAGTTGTACACTTGTTTTAAAGGTGATGCACACTTCTTTTAAAGGTTTCATTATTCTCATTTAGTTAGTTGTTCTCATTTGGTAGGTTTAAAAGTAGAATGTCCCAATAAGAATTAATTTAAAAGTAGAATGAAAATGACAAGTGATTTTGTGTTGTGTTCACAGGGTTGATGAAAGCGAATAGCTCTGGAGTTAGAAGAGGAAAAGAAAGCTCAAGCTGAAAGAGATAAGATGCTGCAAATGCAAGTGTTGCATTCTTCATTTCAATTGTTAGTATGAAACACATAGTAGATTAGCTGAATGCAAATTTATATATTGTAAGAAATAGAATTGTATGATATTAAATTTTATGCAATGGATTGTATTTTTTTTATATGTTATTTTATTTCTATTATGAGACAGTAAATGCAAATTTAATTTAAAAATTAATAAATATATAAATATATTTTTTGAAACATTTAAATTTACGATACGCAAAAATGTGTTTTATTTTCATTTATGACATGACCTTTCTTAACTGGGCTTTTAATGATACGCATTGCGTGTCATTAACACGCGCGTCGTAAGGTTAAGACACGCGAATGCGTGTCGTCTTCCTTTATGATAGGGCCTTCCTTGATACGCATTGCGTGTCGTAAATCCGCGTCGTAATTGCACGTCGTAAATAAGCGTCGTAAATCCTCGTCGTCTATAGACGACGCGCAAAAGCGCATCATCTCTCTTTATGACAGGTCCTTCCTTGACGCGCATTTGCGCGTCGTCTGAGCCTTTTACGACGCGCAATGCGCGTCGTAAAAGGCTGTTTTTCTAGTAGTGTTTCATATTTTTCTTTTAAAATGATACATTCATCATTAGATATTACAAGCTCTCTTTCTAGTGGTTCTATCTTAAGCTTGAGATCTTCAAAGCATAATCTAAGACGTGTCAGTTCACTATCCAACTTTGTACTTACTTCTATGGCAGACTCATATTCTTTATGAATAACTATCATATCTGATTGGATCTGGGTTAGATATCGTTAACAAACAGATAAATCAAAATTATTTTCAATGATGATGGATCTTACTTACTGGATGATGCTTCTGCCGGGTGGATTAGTAGTTGCCATGTAGCAAAAGTATGGCTCAACATCGTCGTCGTCTTCTTCTAAACCTAAAGACCAATAGCCTTCATTACACTCGATCGATTGTATTTCCATAAGACACGTGTTCCTTCTAGTTTTCACTTCATACTCATCTCTAGAAGACCAGTACCCATCAACATTTCTTTACATGGTGGTAATAAAAGCTTTCTCACTTACTGCCGGCTCTTAGGCTCTACGAGCATGGTATGCAGAACCTTTTACCTTCAGTTTCTGAGAGGTTTCAACCAAACAATCTTTGGCAAAATGGTTACCAAGACCACATTTATGACAAACTATATTGGGTTTGTCTGATTTCAGAATTTCTTGGGGTTCTGAGGAGTGACTTGAGATGTTGGGTCGGTATGCAGGTGGGTTTTCTTTGGGAAATAGTTGAGGATTATTTTGATGAGGAGCTTGAAATCGGTTCTGATAAGGTTTATGACTGGGATTCTAGGCATGTTTGTACTTCATGGACAATAGTGTGAATTCTTGTTGAAAGTGCAGTCCGGACTCAGCTGGATCGAGATCATGATTTTCTTCAAATGAATGGTTCTAAATAGGTGGAGTGGGTGGGGTAGGAATTGTTGGGTGAACAAAATAGGTGGGATAGTTCCAAAAGGATCTCGCACATGTTTCATCGTAATTAGTGGGTTAACACAACTAATCAATGCAAGAGGACCTCCTGACAGTTCTCTTAACATTTGAGCAATGTTAGATTCACGCACTTATAGTTCATCAAAATGTTGATAAAGCTTCAGTTTCTTTAGAGATTTGTAACTCTGAAGACATGACTTGATGTTCCCACATCCTTTTTTGAAACTATTGATAAACTTCAGATTGTACTAAAAGAGGAATCATGACTATACCGTGTGTTGTTCACATCAATTTTGTACCTATTTGAAGCTGAGACTAACCGAAGTTAGATGCTTATCCTTCATGCTCTCGGACCCTTCGAACAAGTCCTAAAGAGTGTCCAAAATCTCTTTTGCAGATTTGCACAACTTAATGTTCTCAAAAAGAGACAGAGGAGCACCAAACACTGAGGACCTTCATGCAATATGTTCTGCATGAAGTTTTTCAATAATTGAATCAGTAAGAGGTGTAGGATGTTGTTCTTCCTTACCCATGAGAGTAGCAACAACATCTCTTACTATTTGTCTCACTAGAACATGAGGACCTTCTTTCACAGATCTCCATATTTTTTCACATTTTTCCTTACCAAGTAAAAATCTTTCCATCCTAACTTTCCAGTGATCATACTCTTCAACAGCTAGCAATAGGGCACGAAAAAGGAATCCATGCTATTTGCTATTTGAATCGAATACATTTGTTGATTGTGATGATAGGGGCAGCCATCAAAGTTAAAGTCTTGGGGCAGAAGCAGTATATAGAAGAAACTTTTATCCTGAACATAGAAATGATTGAGATATGAAGGTAATCTCAGATCAAGTATAATCTATTCTTATTGATTCAAAGGATAACCACTCAAGCTCTGATACCAATTGAAAGTATGAAATTCGGTGCGCGGACAACTTTTGAAAAATCAAACCTTGAATTAACTTAAGATCAATGTCTGATGCTAATATATTGTTCTAGTCAAGTCTGGTAACCCAATCTTGTCTTGAATTATGAAAATCAACAAAGTGTTGAACAAAATATTTTAGTAGTGTAAAATGAGCATGAGCAAAGTAAAGACAATCTAAGAACAAGAAGAAAGATGGTGAAAAAGATTTGACTTGCAAGGGAATTGGTAATTGATGTGAAGAGAATATTGCTACTTCTTGCTTACAATGCATGAAATACCATCTACTTAAATAGTAAAGGAAAGGCATCGTACAAATCGTGAACATTCTATCAACTAGATAAAACAACAAACTAACCAAATCTGACACATAAGATTTACTTGATTTTGTCCTATGATCTGTTCAATAAATAAAAAAGACAAGGAGCATTTAATGCTTGTACGTACTCTATCACATCATAAGACTAACTTCATAATGTCGTGGAAATGTCTTCATCTTGGAAGAAGACAGACTTCGGAACTCTTCACATCTCTGACTGGATTGACTTTGGATCTATTTTCACTTGGACTGCTGGAGGTTCACTTCTATGCATCAACAATCACCCAATGTGATCTCATGCGCTCTTCGTTACAATGTTTACACACAAAAAAGGCATGTGTGAACTTCACGTTGTCATCTTAAGAGGAGATGTTTTTGAATATAATAATGACATATATATATATATATATATATATATATATATATATATATATATATATATATATAGTAATGTCCGTGTTTCTCCTAAGCTTTATTTTGATTATTGAATAGATAGGGTCAACAATTGTAACATATTTTAAAGTAATGAAGAAGGTTTATTTTAGTATTATATAACTTACGTGTAAATTATATGCGATATACGTGCTTATAACAATATAATAAAATAGGAATAAAATACGCATCTAAAATAAAATAATAATTAGACCCAATATCTCTGAAGAAAGTTGAAGTAGTCGTAACAAGTATTCCGGAGATATAAGGAACGATGAAATCGGACTTATAATGAAGAAGTTATGTCCGATGAAGTTACAAGATTAAACCGGCAAGACTCGGTGTATAATAAAATGTAATTTTTAACAAAATACTTTTAACCATAATGATCTACAAAAAGTCATAGTAGACGTTAAACCAAGAGCGTACATATAGAGAACGTCCAAATCTGACTTCATTTGAGGAAGGTATGATTTGTCTATGAATCAACATAGTAGTGTACAACTTAGAAATCGAACTTTAGATCGATTGATTATTAACCAACACAATCTAAACAAGAATTGAAGATCTTGTTAGTAAGTGATCAACGATGTAAAGATAGTTCAAAATGGATGTTGAATGACAAAGTTATGAATTTTTAACAGACTTTAACTGTCTAAGACTGTTTAAATATAACTTTAAAAATAAAGTCAAAATTAGTTGACGAAGACTAAATAAAAGTTATAGATCATGTCGATAGCTACACGTGGATATAAAAACGTCAAAAAGGAGCTTATATGAAAAAGTTATGGATTTTACAAGAGAATTAATATTCGGATTAACATGAGGGAGACATGTGTCACGATCGGCACCACACCTTCTTCCCTATGACATGCGATCTAGTGCTAACACATAGACCACAATATATGCAACATAAGTTGAGTACACCCAGTGTATTAGGCACCGGCCAACCTTTAAATAGAATTCTATTTGCACTCTTTTCCTCACACCATTCCATTCTAATCTGTCCCCCTCCCCTCGAAGGCCTCAATGCCTTTATCTAACACTTCCTAGGTGTTATCAATGAAGCTACGGAGTGCCATATGCTTACCGTACATTACGTATAAGATTTGTTTAAGTTCATTATCATTATTATGAACCTATAAAAAAGATTTATCAGTGATTCCAAGTTGTTATACTGATTAATCTAATTATGGGAGAGGTGTCTAGATTGTTCATGTTGGCTTGGTTGTTGGATTTCAGAAAGGTTATACGCTAAAATGATCCTGCCTCCCAACTGTCCTGCTTGGCTAATCCTTACTTGATATATATTGAAGTAGACTTTGAATTAATGATGAATCTACACTAATAAATAGTCTCAATAAATATTAAACTAAGACTTAGTGATAAATATACTAGGTTACGTCAAAGTAACAGACAATTTCTAGAAGCGATGTGTTGTCCGAATTTTGAATCATCACCTTAACAAGTGAGTGCATAGTTACTTTCATCTTACACATAGATATGAAGTATTTAATATAAATTACATACTATATGTGCCTATTTTCTATGTTACTGATATCTATGTTGGATGAACGATTTATACATGTTTGACTTGATTTAAAATGTATATATGTTTTATACCTATAATTATGTTGGGTAAAGATGGGTAGATGAAAGATGATGTAGATGATGAAATATAAAAGAAGAGATAAATGATAAGAGGCCTTGAATTTAAAGATGATATAGTCATCTAGTGGGGTATAGATGATGACCACGGACTATTCTAGACAGTC